ATAAAAACCTCCTGTTTACTACTTACTACTCTTTCTTCATAAACTTAAAAAACAATTGTGGTGAATCGTTTGTGTTTTCAGTTTCCTATCTACTTTAAAACAACCATCAAATGAGAGTCACTATTGTATGATAAATACAACTCCTAAATAACATTACAATATATATTTCTTACAGTGTGTTTGTTATTTCATGTTTAACAATTCTCCTCTTTCTATGTCTTTTACTAGGTGGAAAAATCCACTATTATATTTAATTTGAATAAAACCTTTACCTTAATGTACTTCATAAACTCAGTAAACGTCTTTTTACTTTGCCTTACTGTATGTAATTAAGTTCCTTTGAAATATAATTAAGTACAATTCTTAGTCAAATGACAAATACCATGAAATTCACAATGCAATGCAATGGTAACAATCAGTTCCCAAAAACTATGTTTAAATAGCAACAAATCATTGTTTCTTATTTATTTCAATATATCTACTACTTCAAATCACACATTGATCTATTCATTTTCAATGTATTCACTCCAACTTCAGATCACTCGTTGATCTTTCACTCCTTGTTTTAAATTCAACACAATGCAGCCTTCTTTCAGGCATTAGAGAAAAAACAAGCAGACACACTCTGGGCTGCTGCTCAACAATTAGAGCAGAATCAGGAGAAGGGGGGGAAATACTTTCACAGACAAAGACAGACACACCCCGGCTGGAGCTCTCAGCCTTTTCAGAAGAAAGGGGGGGCTTCTTTGACCAACAAACAACAAACTATGGTATACCAAAAACATTTAGCGCTTTATACTGAGTCTCTAACTCATTACGGCCTGACAAAACATGGTTTCCTCCACTTTTGTATTCAGTGAATTCACAGAGTCGCGAGCAGAGCTTTTTATATTTTTAACCCCCTCGACTCAGATCGGGCTTATTAATCTCTTAATTACCGAACGGACCGGAACAGGCATGACCCTCCACCCTGTTTTTGTGCACTTGGCTCGCAAAGCAAATTTGTATTCCTCAGCCAATAAATCTCTGAACCTTAAGACAAATCATCAGGATCTTCTCAGGCAGAATTCAAGACTACGAGCAAATACAGTGATTCCTCCAGCATAACATGTCCTTACAGCTAGCAAAGATCATATCCCCTCAGTCAAACCCTTAGCTTCTCAGGCAGACTACGAGCAGAATACAGTGATCTCTCCAGTATCAACATTTATCAACATAAAACAAGACCAACAAACAAAACAAACAATCAACAGATCTCAACCATAACTGTGCAAATATCTCAAATCCACTCCTCTGCATTTTCCTTTTAACCAATACAACTTCAAAAGTCATTTAATTCCAAATACGTTTTGCTTACTGTGAGTCGGTATTTCTTCTGTGGAAGTCTCAAGTCTGGTTTCTCAATTCCTCGAGATTTTACCACAGCCGTCTCAGGGCTGCCTGGCCAAGGGAGTTGAGACCCCCAGAGAAGGAACACAGCAACCTCCAGCATCGGCAATCTCGGTAGAACCTCCAAAATGTTGTGGAGATCCAGTACTCACACAACAGGAAAGAATGAAACAGAGAGGAATCAATGAAACACAAACACAGAAATAGTTGAGATTAATCATTATTATTTAGTTGCGCACCACCAAACAACAATGGGGAAACATTACCTTGCTTCAACAGCAACCAATCGCAGAAATGGTCCCACGAACACAAGAAAACACAGGCCAAATATACGTTTCCTAAATGACACACGAACATGTTCCCTTATCATGTTTAACGCACACACATTGTCAGGTCTCCTAAACTTGGACGCACCAACATCAGAGCAACATGTAAGTTCCAGATGTCACACACCAACATCCTTATCGTTTCTTAGCTAATGCATGCTGGATATGAACCACTAACTAACAAGACTTTAACTGTATTATATCTGAGGAAGACCTCTCTTGGAGTTCCTCTGACCTCTGCCAATTTACTTAACATGGGTACATCTGCTGTTAATTGCAAAGACCATTGATAATTAGCAAAGAGACTCATGGGCCTCTTCCAATATCTGGAAACTGTAATTAAATTATAGTTATATTGAGAAGGTCCAAAACTTGACATAACACACATTTCAGACAAACCCAACTATTCTCTCAATCTGTGGAGTATCATGAAGAACTGTATCGGCAAAGAGCGGTCCAAAATCCCAATGCCTGAGTATTTCTAAGAGGTTACTCCAGATCAGATGTCCCTTACAGGAATGATGTTTGTTGGCATGACCAGAAAGGACTCCACCTTTTCTTTTTAAATTCTTTGTTGCAAGAATGCATTCAGTCAAACAAGCTAACAAGTGTGTTTTAAGATCGCACTGATTGACTTCTGGCACCAACACATTCATGAGATGCCAGGTCAATCAAAAACACAGATCGTCTTCAGTTCCTGTTGGACAACATTCTGCCAGAGCCATCCAAGTTTCAAATGGCTCTATTGACAGATTAATGGGACCAGTGGCGAACAAGTTGTGGTCAGAGGTCAGAGTGAAACCTACCGATTGATCATCAGGACACATCTCACTGTTGAAACCGCTGATATTACTGCTTGTCCTTCTGTAAAGAAATGCAAAAGGTAAAAGAGTATCTGTCAGGGTCTGGGAGGTTTCTGGTTTCAGCCACTTCAACATACAAGGAAATAGAGATTGAATTACTTCAACTGATACTAACCGATCCAAATAAATCAAATGTTTCACAGTTAAGGAAGTGCAAAGACATTAACCCGAGTGACATACAAGGAACTGAGTTAAAAAAACAGAAGTCTTAACCTCTTAAGCACGGCGGTCCCCCCATTGGACCCCTCCCACCGTTTTTTTTTCGAGATAATGTCTCAGGGCTTCTTAACATTTATGAAACTATTAATGTGTAGCACCAGATTAACGGGAAGAATCTCAGCTAACTGAAGATATGAACAATTTTTACCAAAACAAAACACAAGTCTCATAAGAAGCGTCTAAATGACCCCTGAGCGAAACAATTCTAACGCACTGCGGCACACAATTCAAGATAAAGATACCCTTATTACTTATCGTAGCTGCACATACAATATAGCCGATTAAAGCTGAGACTCCACAGATTATTTAGGTATAGTATCATCACTGAGCGATCCGAACTTGCGACAGGGGAAGCAAACACAGACATCACAACACGTACCTTTACGGAGCATTTACGGCAGATCGTCTCACAGTAGCTGTCAAATAGGGCAAAAGACGTGTTCAATGGCATTAAAACGAAAAAAAAAAATGCTACAACTGTTGATCCATGGGTTGAAAATGTACCTGTGCCTTTGAAAAAAATATTTATAATCCATAATTCCATTTTTTATGTAAAAATCAGAGCGGAAAAGTTAGCTGCTAATGGTAGCCACCAGAGTGTATGCAGCTTCCGGTTTTGGTAACGCGTCACTCTCACTCCTTATTTGTTAACGTTTTGGTGTGTATATAACTTTCCCTCGATTCTATTGGCTCTAACGGTCAGAAAGAGGTGTCAACCATCAAAATTGAGCAAGGGGGGCCAGAGATAGGTCAAATCCACCCAAATGATGAATATTTGGCTAAATCTCTCTTAAAAAGGTCAAATTTCACTTGTTTTGCATCCATTTTGATACAGGGTACTTATTATATGTTGTACTTTGGATTCCTAAAGCTTTTAGTCTACTAACCCATCATCCAAGGGTAGTTTTCACTATAAGTACAAAAGAACGGACACTATAATTTACAGTTTTTTACTATGTAAAATCTGAATTTTCTATAAAATAAAAAACATCTATATTGATTCTGACTTTTCTACATCCAACTCACAGGTTTATCATTACTTTGAGAATAAAGATTATTAATTTAACCCTTTTAGAAGGGAAGATATGGTCATTTGTTCTGGGAATGTCATTTTCGAGCCTTAGACCTGAAAAACAGGCTCAGGGCTTAAGAGGTTAAGAGATGAGACAAGGATTAGGGGAATTCTGAGTCACACAAGGTGATGTGTTTCCTTGTGTGACTGTTGAGTAAATAACAGTGTGTTATTTAGAAAAGAATGACAAATTAGAAGGAAAATATTTAAAAAAAAATTTTAGATTCCTGTATTTTGAGGCTCTGAGCCATTTATTTTCCTCACGGACGGCAAACAAAGTCAGACATTATAGAATTTAAAATAAAAACAATATCGTGGCTTGATATTGAGTAACAAAACATTTTTATGAGCCACACAGCTTCTGCTCTTCCAAGACCCGACCGGACAAAAATACATGGTGCCGGCACGAAACATACTACCAATAGAAATACATTGCTTTTAAAATCGTTCTGTGTGACACGAAAAAAAGGGGAAATCGTGTTGGTGAACACGAAGCAATAGATTACATGTCGTGACTATAACACGAAATGCCGTGAGACTGGGTTTGTTGATCAAGACTGCATATTTGACCAGTTCAAATACGTTTTTGTCAGCCTTGGTTGAGAAAAAGGACACCACTTGATGGCTGTATGTTCAGAAACTTTCAAAACCAGAAACAGTACGTATACATTTGTATTTGAATAAAGACTTTCAGCCTATATTTCACTGATTAACACTCATCAAGCGTTTCCACTGAGCCGTTTTGGTTCTTGTAGTTTACACACACACACACACACACACACACACACACACACACACACACACACACACACACACACACACACACACACACACACACACACACTCGCACACACATACACACACACACACACACACACACACACACACACACACTCTCGCACACACTCTCGCACACACACACACACACACACACACACACACACACACTCTCTCACACACACACACACACACACACACACACACACACACACCACACACACACACACACACACACACACACACATACACATACACATACACACACACACACAAGCCTGATATTTGCATATAGATAGAAACACAGGAAACCATTTTTAATACAAGAATAACCAGACTGAGAAGTTTTCAGGAATGTTTGCATCAGTCTTTAGGGGCTGGACGAGCAGAAACAGCATAAAAACAGACAGAGCGAGACACAGCGCCACATCAGAGCTGCACCTCCAGGACCAGGACCTTAACAGAAGCATCAGCTGCCCCGGGCCTCCAGGACCAGGACCTAAACAGAAACATCAGCTGCCCCGGACCTCCAGGACCTCCAGACGGTGAGTCTCCGCTTATGTTTCTCCTCACGGTCCTGCAGCTCCGTCAGGAAGCCTCCTGTGACTCGGTGCAGGGACCAGTCCCCTCAGAAACACAGAGAATCCTGAAGAGAGGTCCGTGTGAATGCTGAATGCTGAGCTTTCTGAGTAACGTACGGGGAGCAGATAGCAGCTGAAGTCAGTAGTTATACATATCCCGCTTCAATCACATTAGTATGCATAACAAGTGACAGGTCACACCTGCTAAGTCCCGCCCCCTAATTATGCTAATGAGCCCCTTTGATATGCTAATGGCCTCCTTTGTTCGAGGTGTTATAACGTACAGGTGTCACATCCTCCCTGTAGCCCCCACCCCTCTCAGCCCACCCCCCTCCCCCTCACATACAGGTGTCACATCCGCCCTGTCGCCCCCACCCCTCTCAGCCCCCACCCCTCTCAACCCACCCCCCTCCTCCTCCCTTACAGCAGGTGTCACATCCTCCCTGTCGCCCCCACCCCTTCCTCCCACCACCCCTTCCCCCCTTCCTTTAGCTGTGATGTCAGAAGATAGAGGTGGGGGGGTGGAGTTAGATAAAAAAAGAAATCCGTGCAAACTAGATAAAAAGCCACTCACCAAGTCACCTAAACTTTCAAAAACGAAAATGGCAAAGAGACGCAACGATATGGGTTTAATCAGCGAGACGCCTGTGACAACTTACCGCCATCCGTCGGGAGCGCCAGTCAAGAAACGGGTGCAGTATCTGTGCCGGGTTCAGACCCTCCGTCTGAGGCTCTTCATGAAAAATGGAGTCTGGATGTGTGAGACTGTCTCCCCTCAGATTTGTGCGTAATTCTCTCACAAAGGAACTGTAAGATACACGTTTATGTATGGAAAACTTTATAACTTGGTAAAATATTCATTCATTTGTAACGAATTGAGTTTTCTTCAAGAATCAAACTCTAATGGAGAGTTTATGATTTTAACACTGTTTCGATGAAACAATGCAGTTTTGATAACTTGACTTGACTAACATTACTTTTTTAAATATATGTTTTTAGATGCTTTACTTTTGATTTCTTTCATGTTATTTTAACACATTACTTTTTTCATATTTTTCAACATACTGTGATATTTGTTTTTCTCTCTCCTTTTTTCCATTATATTTATGAATATACAGACATTCAACGCAATAAGTCCCACCCCCAATTAGCAAATCATCCAAAACTAAGGACCCCCACTAAGACGAACAGATTTTCTTTAAGACTGTGACTCTTAAAGGCACTTTGGGATTTTAGTAAAATAATCCAGTTTTCTGGAAATAACTTAAATGATTTTCGTTTTTTCTCCTACAAAGATACTTATAGTTACACTTTAATGGATGCAAAACTTTATAACTTGGTAAAATATTCATTAATTTGTAATGAATTGAGATTCTTAAAGAATCAAACTCTAAATGGAGAGTTTGTGATTTTAACACTGTTTCGATGAAACAATACCGTTTTGATAACTTGACTTGACTAACATTACTTTTTTAAATATATGTTTTGTTAGATGACTTTACTGATTTTTGCTTTTTTCTTCCTTGCTTTTGTTTGTGTTACTAGGATACTTTTAGATACACTTTGAAGTGTGCAACACTTTACAACTGATAGAATAGTACTTTGTAAGGAATTCGTTTTCTTGGTAGAATATAAAGTACTTTTGTAAGGAATTGGGTTTCTTAACAATCCTGCTCCACCATTAAATCACTTAATCTGCTACTTCCAGGCAAAAGCTTTTAAAACTTGCATCGTGTATTAAGTCATGTCTTGGCAAAAATGAGAGTCCTGGGTGCTTTAAAACATTTCTTAGAACATTTTGATATATTCAAACACATAATGAACTGCAATGACTCACTGCTGCATCAAATGTATTTTACACTGTTGGGAGGACAAAACTGTGAGCCTCTCAGACCCTTTTGTTGTCAATCTAATTAGCCTGTCCTCATTCTAACTAAAGTAATTTAACCTAAGTGGAGCCAACCTAAGGAGTGGGCCCTACAGTCTGGGACTAGCTTACTTTTTAACATTCTACTCAAAGGGCCCGTAAATATTATCTCCGCCAAAAGGCTAAAGAATGCTATATTAAAATATCATTTAAAAAATAAAATAAAAAATAAAACTCATTTCATGTTGAAATGATCAAGGAAAAGCCAGTCAATGTTATGCTAACACAAACAAAAGTTCTGTTTTATATGTTGAAATATAATTTAAAAAACAACGATATAGTATTTTCAAGTCTTACTTTAGTATGGTAAAATTAAGAATAAGTCACATTAAAGTTTGTCATGATTTTCCGTAAAAAAGTCAAGTATAGTTTGTCAAAAGAATATGAAAAAATCATTTTGTGGAGTAGTATGTTGAAAATCTCAGTGTTTAACTGAACACATCTACATGTGATAACACCTCGAACAAAGGGGTAATTAGCATACAAAGGGGGGTCACTAGCATCAGTGGGGGAAAGGTGCTACGGGAATGAACTTTGAGGAGGGGGAACTTGTAAGAATTTCCAAGGCGAGAGGGGTCTTTGATAAAAAAAAATATGAACAGAGTTATACCGACTAATTATTTACGCCGTCCGAACGCAACCACTCTGTTTGTGAGTGTGTCAGTGTTTCAGTGTCGCAGTGTTTCAGTGTTTCAGTGAAACACTGAAATACTGAAACACTGACACACTGAAACACTGACACACAAACACTGACACACTGAAACACAGACACACCAAATACTGAAACACTGAAACACTGACATCTGTGCACAAACTTATCTCGTGCCCTCATTGGTCATGTGCGCGTTCGTGTGTGTTGGAGGAGGGGCTCTGTAAGGAAGTGGCAGATTTTCTCCGGTTGTGTATTTTCAAATTCTAGCGCACTCGAGCTGGTTTCTCCAAAATTACCTACCCCACCTTTAAAGGTCACCTATCATGCTTTCATACATAAATATGTGTCCCCGTGTGTCAGGAGACTCACAAAGGGGCGTGGCCAGCAGCAGCTCGGGTACGTTGGAAGCTACTGACCCAGAATCAGCTCTTTAGTCACAGGCCTGAAATAGAGGGGGATGAGGCTGCAATGATCTGTTTGGGCTTTGGAGCAAAGCACTTCAGAGACATGTTTTTTATATCTCTGAAACCTATGATATATGCCTAAAAATAGTATAACAGGAGACCTTGAACATATACCAAACAGTTGGCTTTATTGCTAGGTTCAATAAGTGAACAAAATGCACTTTAAACATGTCATGCAGGAGTAAGACAATGATTTAAGTAGGTACCTCCATATGATTATTGTGAATACATGATTAAAGGTTTCAGCCTAACTCTCTGAAACATGATGTCACACATCACTTGTGGATTGTTATATTTTATGAATCTAAAAGTGTTCATTCATCTGAAGCACTTTGAGAGCATTATCAATAGGATATAAATATGGTGTGCTCTTGTAACAAGTATGTGCATTTGTAAAGCATTGAAACAGAAACACACTGATTGTATAACTATTAACGCTAACGACACAGAAAGAAAGTTACATCTACACATCACGGTGGAATTGGCATTACTCCTGAAGTTACTCGTGCACAGTGCTGCCCCTGACAGAGTTGGCCCGTTCTTTACATAACGTGTGAAAGTGTGTTCATTGGATGACAATAGTGAAGCTGAGGGAAATGATTTCCAGATATGTGTTCAGTTAAATACCACCAGTACGTCTTCTTATCTCAATGTCTCAGTTTTGCTCACAGCCTCTTTGCATCACTAAACTGGTGACATCAGGGAATCAGTCAGGGAGCATTTGACTGGTTTAGAGAACATTGTTTTGAATCTTCAGGAAGTGTATGAACCACTTCCTGCCGAGGACCCTTCATTGTGTACGCTGTTAATGTGTGTTATCGTGCGTTAACCCGGTGTTTGTGCCTCTTCCTCTGTGCAGAGTCATGAAGCTGCTCCTCCTGCTGGCAGGTAAGCAGCATCGCAGGCTTCACTGTGACAAACAACATGTGTTTGAAAGGCATTATGAATGCATTTCAAAGTCAAGTCCTCTGTGCATAAAGTCACTGCGAGTGTGTAATAGCCCTGCACTACTCTACTGTCTTCTTTGTGCAAATAAAACAAGATAATGTTTGAATGACAGACTTTTAAAACATGAGCTCATCCATGAAATCAATATAAATCTGAACGGGTAGCTCTTATTCAACATTTTGATGGCTTCAGTTAATGAGGGGGTTAGCCTTCAACCACTTGTATTTATGAATGAAACAGAACCCAGATACCCTGTATACATTCACCCTGAAGGAGCACATGCTTTACAGAATAAATAAGTATATCATTATTCACTCATTGCACTGATGAGTGTCACTTCAAGTCAGAGGAGAGACTTCAGGGAACGATGAGTGTTCAGGTTGTTCTTGATGGATGTGTTTCTCCTGGAACTCCTGCAGTTGCTGCCAGCCAGATGGAGCTCTCTGCCTCTCAGACTGTCACTCTGAATGCTCCTGGTGGAAACATCAACATCAGCACCATGCCCATCACTTTCTATGGAAAAACATACACATGGTTACACGTGAGTACAATGAACCCCTGCCTGTGTTTCCTGTGATCATCCAGCACACACACTGACTGCTGATGACTGGTATTATTACACATGTTACACATACTACACATGTTACACATATTACACGTACTATACATACTACACGTACTACACGTACTACACATATTACACATGCTACACATATTACACATATTACACATATTACACATATTACACATACTACACATATTACACATACTACACATACTACACATATTACACATATTACACATATTACACATATTACACATACTACACATACTACACGTACTACACATGCTACACATATTACACATATTACACATACTACACATATTACACATATTACACATACTACACATACTACACGTATTACACGTATTACACGTACTACACGTACTACACGTACTACACGTACTACACGTACTACACATACTACACATATTACACATATTACACATACTACACATACTACGCATACTACACATACTACACATACTACACATATTACACGTACTACACATATTACACATACTACACATATTACACGTACTACACATATTACACATACTACACATATTACACATATTACACATATTACACATACTACACATACTACACATATTACACGTACGACACATACTACACGTACTACACGTACTACACGTACTACACGTACTACACGTACTACACGTACTACACATACTACACATATTACACGTACTACACATACTACACATATTACACATACTACACATATTAAAGGTATATCTGTGGTTTAGATAAGGTATAGATATTACAGATATTACACATAACTCACTGTTTAATATGTTATAACTCACTGTTTAATATGTACTAACTCACTGTTTAATATGTACTAACTCACTGTTTAATATGTTATAACTCACTGTTTAATATGTACTAACTCATATGTACTAACTCACAGTTTAATATGTACTAACTCACTGTTTAATATGTACTAACTCACTGTTTAATATGTACTAACTCACAGTTTAATATGTACTAACTCACTGTTTAATATGTACTAACTCACTGTTTAATATGTAATAACTCACTGTTTAATATGTACTAACTCACAGTTTAATATGTACTAACTCACAGTTTAATATGTAATAACTCACTGTTTAATATGTACTAACTCACAGTTTAATATGTACTAACTCACTGTTTAATATGTAATAACTCACTGTTTAATATGTACTAACTCACTGTTTAATATGTACTAACTCACTGTTTAATATGTACTAACTCACTGTTTAATATGTACTAACTCACTGTTTAATATGTACTAACTCACAGTTTAATATGTACTAACTCAGTTTAATATGTACTAACTCACTGTTTAATATGTAATAACTCACTGTTTAATATGTACTAACTCACTGTTTAATATGTACTAACTCACTGTTTAATATGTTATAACTCACAGTCCTCAGAATCAGTCACGAGTGTGTTTGTCTTGATCTTATTTATATATAGATGTAAGCGGTTTGTTACCTCTCAGCGTGTCAGCCTGTAAATATGGGAGCAAATGAATAATGACATGTTGCTAAAGGCAGAGAATGAATTGAGTATTACACACAAAGTTTAAAGTGTGTGCTTTTTGTGCCAGCTGTTATTTTGGGTATTATAAAAGTTTCCCCTCATATTATTCAATATCAGATGCACTGAGACAGGCTTGGTCCCAGAATGCATCACTGTGAGTCTGGTCCGGAGCTGGAAAGTGAGCGTAACATTTCCCTCTGGGGTCTATGGGGTCTATGGGGTCTATGGGGTCTATGGGGTCTATGGGGTCTATGAGGTCTATGGGGTCTATGGGGTCTATGGGGTCTATGGGGTCTATGAGGTCTATGGGGTCTATGGGGTCTATGGGGTCTATGAGGTCTATGGGGTCTATGGGGTCTATGGGGTCTATGGGGTCTATGGGGTCTCTGGGGTCTATGGGGTCTATGGGGTCTATGGGGTCTATGGGGTCTATGGGGTCTATGGGGTCTATGGAGGTCTATGGGGTCTATGGGGTCCATGGGGTCTATGGGGTATATGGGGTCTATGGGGTCTATGGGGTCTATGGGGTCTATGGGGTCTATGGGGTCAGGCACTGATCAGATCAGTTCAATGGAGTGGGGACAGATCATTACTAGAGCCAACAGGAAGTGGTTTGGAGCAGCTGGACGCGTCTCTTTGATTCCACATGTGTCTCTGTATGAAAGGAGACATAAAGACTTGTTGGACAGTGGCTTGTAGAAAGCTTTTTTCCAAAGTGAGAGAAATGTTTTGATCTCATCATTGATCCTATCCTTTTTCTCCGTAGCTCAAAGCACTCCTTGCAGCTCAGACATTTGAGGAGATGAGACGATGCTGTTCTGGAGCGAAAGCCTTCATATTGTAGTTCCTTTTTTTGTTTTTGCAGGTGAAGATCGGCAATAAGTTTGAAGTTTGTTTAAAAAATGACCCATCTGAGGACGACATTGACTGTGTGGTGACCAGCGACGGGGTGGCTTCAGACAAAGTGGTCTACAATATACAAAAGACACCAGTTCCCCCTCACTCTTCTCTTGTTAACATCAAAACCCAGGGACAGGGTTACATTTTCTTCGAGTTCTATACTGGTGCTACATTTAATGTGAGTCCTGATCCGATCCCTGTTACACACTGACTGGCTGTCCAGCTGTTTGTACAAAATGAACATTTCAAAGACATTGTGTGGCAAAGACAACTTCAAATCAAAGTTTATTTGTAAAATGTTGGAAGCATTTCCTAATATTTCTCTCTCTGTTCCTGCTTTCAGATGGATTGGATATTCATCAATTATGGGTTGCAAGCTGCTTGCTATACATATCATTATGCTGGCCGTCCGTTTTCTGATAGTTTAGTAAGTATGACATGAGGCTGTTACCTAACCCTAACCCTTCAGCCTCACCGATGTTTAGAGTTACCATTTGTCAGGTCCCGATACCAATGCAATGTTGTCCTGTTTGTTTCTGTGTGCCAGGGAAACTCATATCCTAAATGCTTTCTGTTAGAAAGCTGCTGTCTTCCAGCCTTCCTCACACTCACTCTGAATGAGAACTGATCCCTGAGAAGACTTCTGTACCCTAACCACCCTGAGAAATGAGAACTGAGGCTGTGTGTGATCCATTATTCCTTTGTATCACTATCAGACATCATTCATATGAATACAGAACCAGCTTTCAGTTCAGCATGGATAGGTGAATGGAGAAGATCAAGTGCAGTCTGTTTGCTCCTCTAAGCCTCTCCTTTGAAAACTCTCTTCTTATTTTCACTTCTAAACAGAGATAGGTGTCAGAAATAATGTCATCCACAGCCTTAGAGTTTCAGGAAGCAGAAGTCACTCAGCATCATGTGTCTGAAGACAAAGAGAGTTCTTATCAGTGACACATGTAGCTGCTAGCATGCAGAGCTAACGGGGGCTGGACTCACAGCACCAGGGGCTGGTGGTTCTGCTCCTTCCTGCCCTCAAGTGGACAAAGGAGTTCATTAGAAATATCAATCTGGAATAATGAAGGAGCTCACCACTGCTCTCACTGTTACTTCATGTCCTAACATCGGAGGAAATATATCAGAAGTGGCATCTATAGAACACTTTCATTCATGTGTACAGTGTTGATGTTAACTTTGTTTTCACTGATTGTATTTACTTCAAACATCTGTCCAGGGACTACAGCTGTAAAAGAGCCTCTTGGCTAACTCTGGCACATTTACAGAGATGGTTCTTAGTGTGCAATGTCCCTGTTAAATAAATAATATGCATACAAATACATTCTGTTTAATCCTTTACTAGAACATTTCTACAACAGTCGGTGGCACAGTGATGGATACCTGGGAGCCTCCTGCAGGAACATCTACTCTTCGAGACCTGAGTGGATGCAGAGGCTCAGGTAAGCTGGTCTGGGGGTTCCCAAAGAAAGGGATCCTCTAAGTTAAATGTGATATTAAAACATGTCTGTTGTTTCCCTATCTTAAATTCTGCCTGTAGTTACTGAAGGGTAATATCATTACCTCCATTCTCCTCCAAGGTGGCGCTGTAATGCCGGGTTCAGAGATGCCCAACTTAGGGCCCTGCTCTACTGGAGTCTGTTCTCTGTCTGCAGTCCTCTCTACTGTCACTGCATGTGGGCCCGAGGAGGTTTGCCAAGCGGACAACACGTAAATATGTGCTCTTTATATCAGGAATAAAGGTCTGACTGATTTGAATAAAGTGTCCCATGTGATCGAACCCTCCATGAGAGAGTGAGGATATTATCCACCTGAGGATTATTGCAGTTACTGATGAATCTGTTCCTATTTCTATTACCCCTTTCCACCAAAGCAGTTCCAGGGTCAGTTCAGAGCTAGTGCCCGATAGCTCACCAGTCCTTTCATTGTTTCCATGAGCAAAACTGGTTGGTGTTAGGAACCAGAGCACTGCTGAACTGGAACCAAGAACCAGATCTGTGTGGAGGCTGGGTCAGATCACTAGAGCCGTAGAGATACGTTCGCTCTCACGGCCCGTTTTGAGGAGCAGCACGACCCGTTCTCCTGTTGTTTTCATACCAGCTTTCAGGTGTGATCACTACATACTGTAGGCTACACAAGTTTTCATATCAGATCACAAGTGAAATCCTATTGAAAGAGCGCCGGTAGAAAACGGAAAATGACTCAATGATAGCAACATGTACTCATACAAAGCATTTATGGTGAATAATTAAAACGCCGTAACCATCTAATGTTCATATCATGTGTTATATATTTTAAATAAGTTTAATTTAGTTTGTTGGCTCTTAATCTGGTTATTGCTTCTTCAGACTGGCTATGCTAACATCATCCATATGATACAGGGAAACGTTTGGCAGTTAACGTCAAACATTGTACATTAAAACTGAACAAAATATGAATCACTGGGGAAATCTGCATCTGTTGCTTTAGTGACAGTCAGCAGTGAATTACTGACTGTCACTAAAGCAACGGTGAATGCCTCTGAATCCTAGTGGGAACAGTTCAACCTGGATCTGAAGAAGAGCAACGAGAGCACAGCTCCAATGCAGCAATATCATATTCCATTTACATGTATACAGACTTTTTGCATTACTTTTTATTTTTGTATTTGATTATATATGTTGCATCGTTGGAGGAGCTCAGGTCAGAAGAATGTCATATGACAATGAAACCTTTGAATTGAATGTTGAATTGAATGTCCATCAGGTGCGCTGCTCCTGCTCTTGCTCCTGCTCCTGCTCCTGCTCTTGCTCCTGCTCCTGCTCCTGCTCCTGCTGCTGCTCCTGCCCCTACTCCTGCCCCTACTCCTGCCCCTACTCCTGCCCCTACTCCTGCCCCTACTCCTGCCACTACTCCTGCCCTACTCCTGCCCCTACTCCTGCCCCTACTCCTGCCCCTACTCCTGCCACTACTCCTGCCCCTACTCCTGCCCCTACTCCTGCCCCTACTCCTGCCACTACTCCTGCCCCTACTCCTGCCACTACTCCTGCCCCTACTCCTGCCCCTACTCCTGCCCCTACTCCTGCCACTACTCCTGCCCCTGCTCCTGCAACTACTCCTGCCACTACTCCTGCCCCTACTCCTGCCACTACTCCTGCCCCTACTCCTGCCCCTACTCCTGCCCCTGCTCCTGCCACTACTCCTGCCCCTACTCCTGCCCCTACTCCTGCCCCTGCTCCTGCAACTACTCCTGCCCCTACTCCTGCCACTACTCCTGCCCCTACTCCTGCCCCTACTCCTGCCCCTACTCCTGCCCCTACTCCTGCCCCTGCTCCTGCAACTACTCCTGCCCCTACTCCTGCAACTACTCCTGCCCCTACTCCTGCACCTACTCCTGCCCCTACTCCTGCCACTACTCCTGCCCCTACTCCTGCCACTACTCCTGCCCCTACTCCTGCCACTACTCCTGCCCCTACTCCTGCCACTACTCCTGCCCCTACTCCTGCCACTACTCCTGCCCCTACTCCTGCCCCTACTCCTGCCCCTGCTCCTGCAACTACTCCTGCCACTACTCCTGCCCCTACTCCTGCCACTACTCCTGCCCCTACTCCTGCCCCTACTCCTGCCCCTGCTCCTGTCACTACTCCTGCCCCTACTCCTGCCCCTGCTCTTGCCACTACTCCTGCCACTACTCCTGCCCCTACTCTTGCCCCTACTCCTGCCCCTACTCCTGCCACTACTCCTGCCACTACTCCTGCCCCTACTCCTGCCCCTACTCCTGCCCCTACTCCTGCCACTACTCCTGCCCCTGCTCCTGCCCCTACTCTTGCCACTACTCCTGCAACTACTCCTGCCCCTGCTCTTGCCACTACTCCTGCCACTACTCCTGCCCCTACTCTTGCCCCTACTCCTGCCCCTACTCCTGCCACTACTCCTGCCACTACTCCTGCCCCTACTCCTGCCCCTACTCCTGCCACTACTCCTGCCCCTACTCCTGCCCCTACTCCTGCCCCTACTCCTGCCCCTACTCCTGCCACTACTCCTGCCCCTACTCCTGCCCCTACTCTTGCCACTACTCCTGCAACTACTCCTGGCCCTGCTCCTGAGGTTCCTAAGGCCCCGGTGGTGTGCACGGTGACGGGCTCCACGGTGATCGGTTTCCACGGATCAGTGCACTCTGTCCAGGATCGCTGTGCCTACAGTCTGATGGAGCCTGAAGGCAGCGCCAGCTTCAACCTCATGGCCGCTTTCAGGGAGCGCCGGCGTACAGATGTTCCTCTTCTGGACCACCTGATCCTGTCGCTGCCAGGTGTGACCATGTATCTGGAGCAAGGAGGAAGAGTTCGGGTACGTTAGCACGTTGTAGTTATGGGGGTGTTTGCTCAAGCAATGCTGATCATTTCCTGCTAGGAGTTACTTTGTGGTGGTGTATCACAAACCCTGTGTGTGTGTGTGTGTGTGTGTGTGTGTGTGTGTGTGTGTGTGTGTGTGTGTGTGTGTGTGTGTGTGTGTGTGTGTGTGTGTGTGTGTGTGTATGTGTGTGTGTGTGTGTGTGTGTGTGTAGGTTGGTGGTGAAGCCCTGGTGCTCAGCAGCACAGCTCAGCTGATGCACGGCGTGGAGCTCTCCAAGGACCAGACTGGAGTCACTGCTAAGTTCCCGTCCTCCAACATGACTCTCTTCTTTGATGGCAACAGCGCACATGTGACAGGTACAGAACAGTACTTCCAATCTGGACTGAATATTACATATTTATTTCTGAATAACAGCTTTAATTCTACCCTCACATCCACCAGGACTTCCTGAAGCTGTAGAGGGTTTGTGTGGCAGCCCCTCCAACTCCAGCTGGACCACCACCCCGACTGCAGAGAAGTCCTCTATCAGCCTCCCTGGGTACCGCTCAGTCCGACTGATATGACCTATTTGTCATAATGTGGATTAGGGTTCAGATGTAATGTGATCTTTGTCTCCCTCTAGCTGTGAGATTCAATACCAGGACTCAGTCGACAGCGCCATCAACTGCAACCGCTCCACCGACCAGTAAGAGCTGAGCCATGAACACCCTCGTCTTGTCATGTCATATAAGCAGCGTTGTTTCTGCAACATCAACCAATGTAACACGGAAAACTCTTCCCTCTGAACAGCTGTAATCTCATGAGGCAGCCTCCCTTCTCCGCCTGTCACGAGCACACCGACCCAGAGCCGTACATCAGCGCCTGCACACACACTCTGTGCAGATACCCGTCAGTGGATGGGGTCGACTGCCACTTTTTGGAGGCTTACGCCAAGGCCTGCAGCCTGGAAGCCAACGTGACCCTGGAGGACTGGAGGTCAACTTCTGGCTGCTGTAAGACCCTCTTTCACTTTAATATTGACAGTCGTTGTGGTTTAATACACAACTGGAAGTCCCTGTGTTTGTATAGTAGCCTGAGTATGGTCACATATACAGGATATATGTAATATGGATAGTGTGCAGTGTTTGATTCCACTTCATTCTAGGTTTATTACTTCATTCCTAGTAATAGTTTGTATAATCATTGTTATTAGTGATATTATTATGATAACTATTTAAAACTGTGTATGAAGGAAAAAATGGAAATTAAATTAAAATTAATAAAAGCATAGATTTTGTAAAATTAATTATTTTTATTTCATTTTAAATATTTTAAACTCGTCTAACTGTCATAGTTGGCTCCTCATGTTGGATGTTGTATTACGGTGTGTGTGATATCTCCTGTATAGATAGATGTTAATACATATATAACTTTTATCAATATATTTTAATATTATTATAAGTTGTTATTAATACTATCATGAGTTTTAGAATCCTTATCTGAGATCTGCCCACTAAATGTGTGTGTGTGTGTGTGTGTGTGTGTGTGTGTGTGTGTGTGTGTGTGTGTGTGTGTGTGTGTGTGTGTGTGTGTGTGTGTGTGTGTGTGTGTGTGTGTGTGTGTGTGTGTGTGTGTGTGTGTGTGTGTGTGTGTGTGTGTGTGTGTGTGTGTGTGTGTGTGTGTGTGCAGCCCCCCCCCCCTCTCTGTCAGCAGCCCTGCAGTGATCATGAGTTCTGTGGAGCAGAGATCTGGTCGTCGTCTCGCTGCTTCTGTCGGGCTGGGTTCTCCTCCAAGTACAGAGCCACCAAGTCTTTAGGTACGGAGCTGGAAGAGAGGCGCTCCTGAACGCATCACATGTTTCTCTAGAGACATTAGTAGTTATTCATATCATACATCTAATATCATTATATGATAGGTCATCCTGACCACAGCCCCTGAATGTACTTTTCTTTCTTTGGACTTTTGGAGCTAACCATCAGTTGGTTATTTTAGCTCGTCTTCTCCCTGACAACGGTTAACTTGAAGTGTTGCTGTGTTTGCAGGCGAGCCGCCGGTCTGCAGGCAGGGCTCGGCCACTGTGACTCTGGCTGGATGTCTGCTGGCTGACAAAGGCATCGAATTCTCCACCTTACACCTGAAAGACCCCAGCTGCAAGGGCCACATGGACCCCCAAAGCCACCTGGTGACCTTCAGCTTCGACAGCAGCAACACCTGCGGGACGGAGGTCATGGTGCGTGCTTTCCTCACAACTTAAAACCAGTTCTGGTGTCAACCTCTTTCTAGTTCAGGGGCCACATACAGCCACATGTGATCTCCAGTGGGCCGGACCAGTGAGATCACAGCATAATGACCTATAAATAACCACTACTCTAAACCGTTCCCTTTTGGTTCAGTCCAACAAAGTGTATTCTTAAAATGATCACATTTAATGAACTATCATTTTACAAAACATTAGGAAGTAACAAAATACTGTTTCCCGTGTTTATCTTGCAGCGAGTAACCCTTACAAAAACAACAGAGCAACAAGAAACACTGACAGGTCCTAAAGTGCTTTAGTGCCAGGAGGTTTCCTGCAGTGTCATCCTGAACATCAGTCTTCTCCACACTTCAGGAAACCAGTCGTTATAGGATAACCCTTTATCAAAGCTTCAATGCCACACTTTCCATTACAGGGCTCATCACTTCCTGTTGTCCTGTAGAGGACATGTCCCACTAGTTTCCTTTATTGATGAAAGAAGGACACACGTGATCCATGAACTGGATGATAAAGATATGGCCGTCTGGATGGAAATGTTCGGGAGTAATGTTTGCGCTGTGATCAAATGAACTGATTACTTTTTCTTTCACAATGCAGAAGAACGGCAGCCAGACCGTCTACGAGAACTCCATCGTGTCGAGCAACCGCTCATCAGGCGGCGTCATCACGCGCCAAGACCAACTCAAGATCGACTTCTCCTGCTTTTACAAACAGCCGGAGGTCAAGAGTGTGTCCTTCACTATCAGAGACAGGTGAGGGTCCTCCTGGTCCTTAATGCACCACAGCTTAACATTCACAATGCTGAAGAGTGTGTGTGTGTGTGTGTGTGTGTGTGTGTGTGTGTGTGTGTGTGTGTGTGTGTGTGTGTGTGTGTGTGTGTGTGTGTGTGTGTGTGTGTGTGTGTGTGTGTGTGTGTGTGCAGCTCTGTGGTGCAGCACATCGTATCTGGAGAGTGGAACTACACTCTGACGATGAGCTCCTTCAGCGACGCCGGCCTCCTGCAGAATGTTGGGCCGAAAACAGAGATCAAGCTGAACCAGAAGGTCTGGCTGCAGCTGGAGGCGGGGGGGCTGGACGCCAACATGGTCGCCATGGTGACAGACTCCTGCTGGGCAACCAATCAGGCGTCACCTGATGATTCGCTACGATACGACCTCATCATCAACGGGTGAGGAAATAAACTCTGACTGTTAGAACAAAATAAACTCTGACTGTTAGAACAAAATAAACTCTGACTGTTAGAACAAAATAAACTCTGACTGTTAGAACAAAATAAACTCTGACTGTTAGAACAACATTTTACATTTTTTTATTACATGTTACTTGTTAGACGCTTTTATCCAAAGCGACTTACAAATACAAAAAATAAACTCTGAGACTTCATCTTGTGTATTTCCTGTCTCCGGGCAGATGTCCGAACCCTGCTGATGATACGGTGCAGATGCAGGGAAACGGACAGGGAACGTCCAGCGTTTTCTCCTTCAACATGTTCCAGTTCTCTGGAGGAAGCAGTGAAATCTACCTGCACTGCAAACTGGAGCTGTGCCCCACACAGGGCCAGGCCTGCACTCCGGTACACACAGAGTACTAATACACAGAGTACTAATACACAGAGTACTAATACACATAGTACACAGAGTACTAATACACAGAGTACACAGAGTACTAATACACAGAGTACACAGAGTACTAATACACAGAGTACACAGAGTACTAATACACAGAGTAAACAGAGTACTAATACACAGAGTACTAACACACAGAGTACACAGAGTACTAATACACAGAGTACTAACACACAGAGTACTAATACACAGAGTACTAATACACAGAGTACTAACACACAGAGTACACAGAGTACTAATACACAGAGTACACATACACAGAGTACTAATACACAGAGTACACAGAGTACTAATACACAGAGTACTAACACACAGAGTACTAATACACAGAGTACACAGAGTACTAATACACAGTGTACTAATACACAGAGTACTAATACACAGAGTACACAGAGTACTAATACACAGAGTACTAACACACAGAGTACACAGAGTACTAATACACAGAGTACTAATACACAGAGTACACAGAGTACTAATACACAGAGTACTAATACACAGAGTACACAGAGTACTAATACACAGTGTACTAATACACAGAGTACTAATACACAGAGTACACAGAGTACTAATACACAGAGTACTAATACACAGAGTACACAGAGTACTAATACACAGAGTACACAGAGTACTAATACACAGAGTACACAGAGTACTAATACACAGAGTACTAATACACAGAGTACACAGAGTACTAACACACAGAGTACTAATACACAGAGTATACACAGTACTAATACACAGAGTACTAATACACAGAGTACTAATACACAGAGTATACACAGTACTAATACACAGAGTACTAATACACAGAGTACACAGAGTACTAATACACAGAGTACACAGAGTACTAATACACAGTGTACTAATACACAGAGTACTAATACACAGAGTACTAACACACAGAGTACACAGAGTACTAATACACAGAGTACTAATACACAGAGTACACAGAGTACTAATACACAGAGTACACAGAGTACTAATACACAGAGTACACAGAGTACTAATACACAGAGTACTAATACACAGAGTATACACAGTACTAATACACAGAGTACTAATACACAGAGTACTAATACACAGAGTACACAGAGTACTAACACACATAGTACTAATACACAGAGTACACAGAGTACTAATACACAGAGTACTAATACACAGAGTACTAATACACAGAGTATACACAGTACTAATACACAGAGTACTAATACACAGAGTACTAATACACAGAGTACACAGAGTACTAATACACAGAGTACACAGAGTACTAATACACAGAGTACACAGAGTACTAATACACAGAGTACACAGAGTACTAATACACAGAGTACACAGAGTACTAATACACAGAGTACACAGAGTACTAATACACAGAGTAAACAGAGTACTAATACACAGAGTACTAACACACAGAGTACACAGAGTACTAATACACAGAGTACTAACACACAGAGTACTAATACACAGAGTACTAATACACAGAGTACTAACACACAGAGTACACAGAGTACTAATACACAGAGTACACATACACAGAGTACTAATACACAGAGTACACAGAGTACTAATACACAGAGTACTAACACACAGAGTACTAATACACAGAGTACACAGAGTACTAATACACAGAGTACTAATACACAGAGTACACAGAGTACTAATACACAGTGTACTAATACACAGAGTACTAATACACAGAGTACACAGAGTACTAATACACAGAGTACTAATACACAGAGTACACAGAGTACTAATACACAGAGTACACAGAGTACTAATACACAGAGTACACAGAGTACTAATACACAGAGTACTAATACACAGAGTACACAGAGTACTAACACACAGAGTACTAATACACAGAGTATACACAGTACTAATACACAGAGTACTAATACACAGAGTACTAATACACAGAGTATACACAGTACTAATACACAGAGTACTAATACACAGAGTACACAGAGTACTAATACACAGAGTACACAGAGTACTAATACACAGTGTACTAATACACAGAGTACTAATACACAGAGTACTAACACACAGAGTACACAGAGTACTAATACACAGAGTACTAATACACAGAGTACACAGAGTACTAATACACAGAGTACACAGAGTACTAATACACAGAGTACACAGAGTACTAATACACAGAGTACAGAGAGTACTAATACACAGAGTACTAATACACAGAGTATACACAGTACTAATACACAGAGTACTAATACACAGAGTACTAATACACAGAGTACACAGAGTACTAACACACATAGTACTAATACACAGAGTACACAGAGTACTAATACACAGAGTACTAATACACAGAGTACTAATACACAGAGTATACACAGTACTAATACACAGAGTACTAATACACAGAGTACTAATACACAGAGTACACAGAGTAATACACAGAGTACACAGAGTACACACAGAGTACACAGAGTACTAATACACAGAGTACACAGAGTACTAATACACAGAGTACACAGAGTACTAATACACAGAGTACACAGAGTACTAATACACAGAGTAAACAGAGTACTAATACACAGAGTACTAACACACAGAGTACACAGAGTACTAATACACAGAGTACTAACACACAGAGTACTAATACACAGAGTACTAATACACAGAGTACTAACACACAGAGTACACAGAGTACTAATACACAGAGTACACATACACAGAGTACTAATACACAGAGTACACAGAGTACTAATACACAGAGTACTAACACACAGAGTACTAATACACAGAGTACACAGAGTACTAATACACAGTGTACTAATACACAGAGTACTAATACACAGAGTACACAGAGTACTAATACACAGAGTACTAACACACAGAGTACACAGAGTACTAATACACAGAGTACTAATACACAGAAGTACACAGAGTACTAATACACAGAGTACTAATACACAGAGTACTAACACAGAGTACTAATACACAGAGTACTACAGTTACTATACAGAGTAAGTACTAATACACAGAGTAACAGAGTACTAATACACAGAGTACTAATACACAGAGTACACAGAGTACTAATACACAGAGTACACAGAGTACTAATACACAGAGTACACAGAGTACTAATACACAGAGTACTAATACACAGAGTACACAGAGTACTAACACACAGAGTACTAATACACAGAGTATACACAGTACTAATACACAGAGTACTAATACACAGAGTACTAATACACAGAGTATACACAGTACTAATACACAGAGTACTAATACACAGAGTACACAGAGTACTAATACACAGAGTACACAGAGTACTAATACACAGGTGTACTAATACACAGAGTACTAATACACAGAGTACTAACACACAGAGTACAAGAGTACTAATACACAGAGTTACTAATACACAGAGTACACAGAGTACTAATACACAGAGTACACAGAGTACTAATACACAGAGTACACAGAGTACTATACACAGAGTACACAGAGTACTAATACACAGTACTAATACACAGAGTATACACAGTACTATACACAGAGTACTAATACACAGAGTACTAATACACAGAGTACACAGAGTACTAACACACATAGTACTAATACACAGAGTACACAGAGTACTAATACACAGAGTACTAATACACAGAGTACTAATACACAGAGTATACACAGTACTAATACACAGAGTACTAATACACAGAGTACTAATACACAGAGTACACAGAGTACTAACACACAGAGTACACAGAGTACTAATACACAGAGTACTAACACACAGAGTACTAATACACAGAGTACTAATACACAGAGTACTAATACACAGAGTACACAGAGTACACATACACAGAGTACTAATACACAGAGTACTAACACACAGAGTACTAACACACAGAGTACTAATACACAGAGTTCTAACACACAGAGTACTAGTACACCTGTGTGAAGCTAACTTCCTCTCTGATAAGCTCACTTCCTGTCTGTGAGCTAACTGTGAAGCTAACTTCCTGTCTGTAAAGCTCACTTCCTGTCTGTAAAGCTAACTTCCTGTCTGTGAAGCTCACTTCCTGTCTGTGTACAGAGCTGTGGGGGGGCAGCTCGCAGGAGGCGCAGATCTGCTAAATACGCTGATGGGAACGCGGCCCTCATCACTATGGGATGGAGAAACTGAAGAGCTTTGCATGGTAGGTAGCTCCTTCATTTGTTCTTCCTAACGAGTTCCTTAATTAACACGATGTTTAACGAGTTCCTTGATTAACACGATGTTTAACGAGTTCCTTGATTAACACGATGTTTAAAGAGTTCCTTGATTAACACGATGTTTAACGAGTTCCTTGATTAACACGATGTTTAACGAGTTCCTTGATTAACACGATGTTTAACGAGTTCCTTGATTAACACGATGTTTAACGAGTTCCTTGATGAACACGATGTTTAACGAGTTCCTTGATGAACACGATGTTTAACGAGTTCCTTGATTAACACGATGTTTAACGAGTTCCTTGATGAACACGATGTTTAACGAGTTCCTTGATTAACACGATGTTTAACGAGTTCCTTGATTAACACGATGTTTAACGAGTTCCTTGATGAACACGATGTTTAACGAGTTCCTTGATGAACACGATGTTTAACGAGTTCCTTGATTAACACGATGTTTAACGAGTTCCTTGATTAACACGATGTTTAACCTGTTTCACACCTTCCCCCCGGTACCGGGCGGATAAACGCGTCATTTGCAGGAAACAACGTCTAAGGAATCTTAATATTGAATAAAACTATGAATGTGTTATATCCATGTAACGGGAAGAAACTCAGCTAACTGATCTTTTTAATTTTTTTTTTTCAAAAAAACCCACAATGCTAGCACTCAGCCTCTGAATTAGCCTCGACGAAAAAACGTAACCTACAAAGGCACATAAACTCACTCAGAACTCCCTTATTACTTATCCTAGATGCACAACCAAACACTCTTTTTTGGTGTCCTGGAGACACTGAATCTACCGGTGCCCTCCTCAACACTCAGTGATAAACATTCGCGACGCTATCAACGAAAGCGTACATCATCACATGTGGAGCTAAGAAGCTAAACAGTAAATATGGCTTACCTTGGTCAAAAGTGGTCTTCAATGGCATTAAAACGATAAAAAAACGATGCTGCAGTTAATCCATAGGTTCATCCTATGTGTCTGTGCCTTCTTTGAAATGATTTCTGATAATCCATAAGCAATACAACTGCGTTTTAGTTTCCAAACTCCAGAAGGAGACATTCCTCTACTTTGGTTTCGTTTTCCACACGCGAAGCAACCACATTTTTTCTTTACAACCTGTCTGGGTGGGAGCCTCCCCCTTCGATTCTATTGGCTCTAACGGTCACAAGGGTATGTCAACCAACCAAATCGAGCAAGGGGGGCCAGAGATAGGTCAAATCCACCCAAATGACCCCAGATGGCCCAGTTTTTGGCTAAACCTCTCTAAAAAGGTCAAATTTCACTTGTTTTGCATCAATCTTGATACAGGGTACTTATTATATGTTGTACTTTGGATTCCTAAAGCTTTTAGTCTACTAACCCATCATCCAAGGGTAGTTTTCACTATCTGTAAAAAATAATATTTGGACGGACACTATAATTTACAGTTTTTTACTATGTAAAATCTGAATTTTCTTTAAAATAAAAAACATTTATATTGATTCTGACTTTTCTACATCCAACTCACAGGTTTATCATTACTTTGAGAACAAAGATTATTAATGTAACCCTTTTAGAAGGGAAGATATGGTTATTTGTTCTGGGAATGTCATTTTCGAGCCTGAGACCTGAAAAACAGGCTCAGAGTGGAACAGGTTAACGAGTTCCTTGATGAACACGATGTTTAACGAGTTCCTTGATTAACACGATGTTTAACGAGTTCCTTGATTAACACGATGTTTAACGAGTTCCTTGATGAACACGATGTTTAACGAGTTCCTTGATTAACACGATGTTTAACGAGTTCCTTGATTAACACGATGTTTAACGAGTTCCTTGATGAACACGATGTTTAACGAGTTCCTTGATGAACACGATGTTTAACGAGTTCCTTGATGAACACGATGTTTAACGAGTTCCTTGATGAACACGATGTTTAACGAGTTCCTTGATGAACACGATGTTTAACGAGTTCCTTGATTAACACGATGTTTAACGAGTTCCTTGATGAACACGATGTTTAACGAGTTCCTTGATGAACACGATGTTTAACGAGTTCCTTGATGAACACGATGTTTAACGAGTTCCTTGATTAACACGATGTTTAACGAGTTCCTTGATGAACACGATGTTTAACGAGTTCCTTGATTAACACGATGTTTAACGAGTTCCTTGATTAACACAATGTTTAACGAGTTCCTTGATTAACACGATGTTTAACGAGTTCCTTGATGAACACGATGTTTAACGAGTTCCTTGATGAACACGATGTTTAACGAGTTCCTTGATTAACACGATGTTTAACGAGTTCCTTGATGAACACGATGTTTAACGAGTTCCTTGATTAACACAATGTTTAACGAGTTCCTTGATTAACACAAAGCAGCAAAGTATAAACCATGACTCAGCAGTGTCTCTGTGTTCTCAGCTGATTCCTGACGGTGGAAATGAAGGTCTTGTTGCTGTGAAACTGAGCCGGCACATTATCTGAGATTATGCTGAGGACTCCAGTTATTCTGAGTTTTAACTTCTTTATGATGTGGGGGAAATAATCAAAAGGGGTTCTTTTACTATGTGCACTAGTATATATATATATATATAATTTCTTCTTTAATATACTGTCTGTTTGTAAATGTGCACAGCCTGAAAGCTACCTGAGTGTTAAAGAAGGGAAACAGGAAGTGAATGAGAACTGAAATGTGGATGACTACCCAGGAAGAGGATCAGATCAGATGTAATTCCTCAGAGCACGCTGTTGTACTTTTATTATGATTGTATTACTATGAGCAAAATGTATTACTTTATTTAGTCCATTGATAATAAGATTGAGATATGTAACATCTTTAGGGGAATAATAGAAGTGAAGCATACAGCAGCATTACGCAACAACATCCCCTCCAATGAAACACACAGGATCAGCTGATACGAGGAACTCCTACACAACACAAGTCATTCAGTGAAAGATCACCTCTCTGCCATTAGACCCAGATTAGATGAGACGTATTACCTGTCACTGCTGGCAACATCAGGACATATACGAGTACTGCTCAGATCAAATGACGGTATAGCCAAACATCGATGTATTATTTACAATGATCCCAATCCACAGCAACATGGTCTCAAACTCTACGCTCATTTGATATATTTGTTTTTCCAAGAATAAAATGAAGCGCAGATCAAAAATGAAAACACGAAGAAGCACAAAACGTCTTAACTTGAGACGTTGTGAGTTTTAAAGAAGTGAATTATTATCAGACTGAAGTCATTCCCAAAGGAGAGGTTGTTGCACGCTGTTGTACCTTTACTAGGGTTGTATTACTATGAGCCAAACATACTTTACTTTATTTAGTAATACATGGATTATATTTAGAAATGTAACATCTTAATATGTGTCCGATGAAGAAAAGTGATCAGAAAAGGGTTTTATTAGGATGATTTTATTACTATACGCAGAAAGGTTAGGGTTAGTTCACCAAGTGATGTGACGTATGAATACCATTCAGTCATTGAGCAATTATATCTATAAATGTAACAATTAGATTTAGAAATGTAACACCTTTAGTGAAATAACAGAAGTGTCTAATGAAGGGTTTAGAGGGGTTCTTTTACTATGTGCACTGGTATATATATATATATATATATATATATATATATATATATATATAAACATTTCTTCTTTAATATACTGTCTGTTTGTAAATGTGCACAGCCTGAAAGCTACCTGAGTGTTAAAGAAGGGAAACAGGAAGTGAATGAGAACTGAAATGTGGATGACTACCCAGGAAGAGGATCAGATCAGATGTAATTCCTCAGAGCACGCTGTTGTACTTTTATTATGATTTTATTACTAATGGAACCAAAAACAATTAATAAAGTGAGTGGGAAAAAGAAACATGAGTCTCAGTCGTATATTCATTGAGTGTGTGTGTGTGTGTGTGTGTGTGTGTGTGTGTGTGTGTGTGTGTGTGTGTGTGCGTGTGTGTGTGTGTGTGTGTGTGTGTGTGTGTGTGTGTGTGTGTGTGTGTGTGTGTGTGTGTGTGTGTGTGTGTGTGTGTGTACAGGAACAGCTCCTTTGCCACGTCTCATGTAGCCTGGAAGCACATCTGTCAAGAGCCATAACCTCTAGCTCCGCCTCTTTGGAGCTCTAGCTCCGCCTCTCTGGAGCTCTGGTGACACTGACAAAATGGCGGACTTTACAGGAAATGACGTTGCCGTAGCAACCACAAACAACTAGTTTAAAGACATCTTAATGCTAGAGTCTATTTAAATAGATTTTAGTACTTGTTATTAACGAATGGAAATCACTTGGTTTCGATGCATTGGCATGAAGATACCAGCCAACAGTTTTTACAAATAAAATGACGTTATGACAAATCTGCTGAAGGGCTCTCCCCACTTACCTTTTTTGTGATGAACTATGATTGTTGGGCCCTGCTGAGCATCACCCTAACCCTCACTGTCAACCCAACCCATCAACTCTCAGAACACATAACATTTATAGGAAAATATAATTGAATACATGAATAATATATTTCAGCATATGAGAGTGAGCGTGGGGTTCGTAAAGGATATATCCTCACTGTTGTGATTCGGCCGTATGGCGAGTGCCGCAGTACTACGACATTAGCATGAGTTGTATGTATTGTATTGTACTATTAGTATATATCGTCCCAGTAATATGACATTAGCATGAGTTGTATGTATTGTACTATTCAAATCAAATCAAATCAAGTTTTATTTATATAGCACATTTTTAAACGATTTTTGGTTGAGCCAAAGTGCTGTACATATAATAAAAATACCCTATAGTAAAGACACTTTACAGCAAATACAACAGCACAGTTTGTTCAGAATATCAGTATGAGAAAAACGACACCCTCTGTCCTTAGACCCTCTGTCCTTAGACCCTCACATCGTACAAGGAAACACTTCCAGAGAAAAACCCACAGTTTAAAGGGAAAAATGGGAGAAACCTCAGGGAGAGCAACAGAGGAGGGATCCCTCTCCCAGGATGGGATGTAAATCCGTGTGTAAATCGAAGAGATAATACATTTTACAGCGTAGGTAGACCGAATGTTTGGAAATGCATGTGTCTATAATAAGAAGATGAATCCACAAAGATGTCAACAACAATCCTGTGGGAGCCATCAGGGAAGCAGCATGATGAGAGTCAGGCAGGACCACAGAGACAGGCCCAGCCACGACCCGAAGTCCACAACTTAATCCAGAACTCAGGATAGAGGATCCAGGGCACAGGACCACAGCAAGAGGATCAGCCTCGACTCCGGATCCCGGCGTAGATATAGACACAAAACAAGAACAATTTGGCTGGGTTAATCGGAACATGAGAGTACACAGACACAGACAGACAGAAGGAAGAACAAGCACTCCCTTAGGATAGGTTAAGGGAAAAGGGTAGCAAGTAAGAGAGTAAGAAACAGAGGTGGAGAGGCACACGCAGGGAACAAGGTCCCACTGGAGCCTTAGCCTATTAGTATATATCATCGCAGTACTATGACATTAGCATGAGTTGTACGTATTGTACTATTAGTATATATCATCCCAGTACTATGACATTAGCATGAGTTGTACGTATTGTACTATTAGTATATATCATACCAGTACTATGACATTAGCATGAGTTGTACGTATTGTACTATTAGTATATATCATACCAGTACTATGACATTAGCATGAGTTGTACGTATTGTACTATTAGTATATATCATACCAGTACTATGACATTAGCATGAGTTGTACGTATTGTACTATTAGTATATATCATACCAGTACTATGACATTAGCATGAGATGTACGTATTGTACTATTAGTATATATCATACCAGTACTATGACATTAGCATGAGTTGTACGTATTGTACTATTAGTATATATCATACCAGTACTATGACATTAGCATGAGTTGTATGTATTGAACTATTAGTATATATCATCCCAGTACTATGACATTAGCATGAGTTGTATGTATTGTATTGTACTATTAGTATATATCATCCCAGTACTACGACATTAGCATTAGTTGTACGTATTGTACTATTAGTATATATCATCCCAGTACTATGACATTAGCATGAGTTGTATGTATTGTATTGTACTATTAGTATGTATCATCCCAGTACTATGACATTAGCATGAGTTGTACGTATTGCACTATTAGTATATATCATACCAGTACTATGACATTAGCATGAGTTGTATGTATTGTATTGTATTGTATTGTATTGTACTATTAGTATATATCATCCCAGTACTACGACATTAGCATGAGTTGTACGTATTGTACTATTAGTATATACCATCCCAGTACTATGACATTAGCATGAGTTCTACGTATTGTACTATTAGTATATATCATCCCAGTACTATGACATTAGCATGAGTTCTACGTATTGTACTATTAGTATATATCATCCCAGTACTATGACATTAGCATGAGTTGTATGTATTGTATTGTACTATTAGTATGTATCATCCCAGTACTATGACATTAGCATGAGTTGTACGTATTGCACTATTAGTATATATCATACCAGTACTATGACATTAGCATTAGTTGTATGTATTGTATTGTATTGTATTGTACTATTAGTATATATCATCCCAGTACTACGACATTAGCATGAGTTGTACGTATTGTACTATTAGTATATACCATCCCAGTACTATGACATTAGCATGAGTTCTACGTATTGTACTATTAGTATATATCATCCCAGTACTATGACATTAGCATGAGTTCTACGTATTGTACTATTAGTATATATCATCCCAGTACTATGACATTAGCATGAGTTGTACGTATTGTACTATTAGTATATATCATCCCAGTACTATGACATTAGCATGAGTTGTACGTATTGTACTATTAGTATATATCTTCCCAGTACTATGACATTATAATGACAGACTGATAGCAGAGCTCATGCACTCACTGATAGCAATACAAAGTGATGTGACTATATGCTGCAGAAGGTGACAGAATGATGAGTTGACATTAGGGATGTTAAGATTCACCGATTCGCATTGGTGCACCGGCATAAACGTTCAAGATGCGAGTGCACCGGTTGAAAGAGTGCACATCGGCTACAGTTTGGGTTGAACTCGCGATGCATCGATTGTAGCGTCTTTGCATCGGTAAAAAAACGATTCATTCATATAATATCCTCTCATCCTGTCAGCACTCAGCAGAGACGATCTTTGATCTTTGCTTCGCCACTACGGAGGCCGACAGTCTCAGTTATCAACACACATGGAAGTCGAGGAGAAAGAGAAACACAGCGCACCGAAAAATACCTACAAATCAAACGTTTGGCAACACTTCGACTTTTCAAGAAAGACGGACAACTTGAAAAATCGCTCGCAAATTGTAAACGATGCTGTGCGGCTTTAAAGTACACAAGTAGTACGAGGAACTTAGCGACGCACATAGAGGCAACATGGGGTCTGCGGCTGAAAAGAGAAACCTGAAAGTTAGACATATGAGTTAAATCACTCAGTGAGGTGTTCTGTCAGTGAGAGTGGTATTTAGTTTACAGCCTGTGACTGCCAATAATAGTTTAAATGTCTTCCTTACAATTGTAAGCAGTTATGAAATACCTGTTTGTGAAAGGTTATTTTCTTTATTGTTCCTATAGAAACCACTGCTTTCTGCTCACTGGTGAGTTAGCCTATGGATGAGTGTTGAAGTAAACAGATATGGTTCTAAACTGTATTGAAGTAAACATGTATTATTTTGAATTGTATTTTAGTGAACATGTATTGTTTGAACTGTTTTAAGTAATCACATATATAGATATTGTCTTTTTCACTTACAACTCACTGACCCAGAGATCCTGTTACACACACATACACCTCCTCCCACCAGCACACACACATATTCTTTTCAAGGTTCTTTCTGGGCATCAATATATCTGTGTACAATGTTTGGTTGTCTGGGAAAGAATAGTTTGTGTGAAATATTCCTTGGGAAAGTAAGGGAGTGAAAATCGGTGCAGAGATAAGATTGACTCTGCCCTTGTGAAACTTCAGAATCTCACGCTGTGGTCAGAAGAAAACATACTTTTTCCCAGAACTCTGATTCGCTGTATTGGACCCGACCAGAAGTGAATCCAACCAGTAGAAACACCTGGGGGAGTGAGCAGCTCACACAGTTCCTCCCCACGGACTCTCTGATTCGCTTCGGAGTAAAATGGGAAGGAAGAAGTCAACACATCTCCGCCGCAAAATATGAATATGAATACTGTTGTTTTTATATGTAAAATGCTTCTTGTTTGCTGACTGGCTGGTCCCGATACCTGTATCGCACCGCAGTAGAAACCTGAAGTCCGTAGTACTCTGTAAAACTTGTATACGTGTTTTGTTTCTTACCAGTAAAATCAGATTATTGTTATAACCTTTAATTCCGGTGTTTTGAATTCCTTTCTTTATTAAATATAACCAGCCTCATCTAACGAACGGCGCGTAGCGGAGGGGGGCTTTCAGCCACCATCCAACAGTGTTTGCTACAACAGTGTTAAGCACATCAGGCTGGCAGTTGTATGTGCATTGCACTATGGTAGTTGTTATTTGCACATTGTTAATTCTGGGCATCCTTAAATTGTTTAACTGTGAGGTGTTATA